CAAAATACAGTAATAATTGTGAAATATTATAATAATTTAAAACAAGTGTTCTCTATGTGAATCTATGTAAAAAAAAAAAAAAAGTATTTCTGTGATCAAAGCTGAATTTGCAGCATCATTACTCCAGTTTTCAGTGTTACATGATCCTTCAGAAATCATTCTAATATACCGATGTTGAATATTTTTGTGGAAACCCTAACAACCATATCACAGTTTTTGGTCAATAAAACATGCAACAAAAAAAAAACAAGTCTAAAAACTTCTTAGCAACACCCTAGCAACCACCAGAACAGCCTAGAAAGCTCATGGCCAAAACTTAGAACATCGTAGCAACTGTATAGCAAAAGCTGGAAAATAAAACACATAAAATACAACCTAGAATCTGTTTAGCAACCACCCAGTACACCCTAGCAACCATATAGTAGCTGCTCGACCAAAAAATACTGTACAGATTCTTAGCAACACCCTAGCAAGCACCCAGAACACCCTAGCAACCATATAGCATCTGCTCGACCAAACAACACTGTACAGATTCTTAGCAACACCCTAGCAAGCACCCAGAACACCCTAGCAACCATATAATAGCTGCTCGACCATACAACACTGTACAGATTCTTAGCAACACCCTAGCAAGCACCCAGAACACCCTAGCAACCATATAATAGCTGCTCGACCAAACAACACTGTACAGATTCTTAGCAACACCCTAGCAAGCACCCAGAACACCCTAGCAACCATATAATAGCTGCTCGACCAAACAACACTGTACAGATTCTTAGCAACACCCTAGCAAGCACCCAGAACACCCTAGCAACCATATAATAGCTGCTCGACCAAACAACACTGTACAGATTCTTAGCAACACCCTAGCAAGCACCCAGAACACCCTAGCAACCATATAATAGCTGCTCGACCAAACAACACTGTACAGATTCTTAGCAACACCCTAGCAAGCACCCAGAACACCCTAGCAACCATATAGCATCTGCTCGACCAAACAACACTGTACAGATTCTTAGCAACACCCTAGCATTCATTCAGAACACCCTAGCAACCTCATAACTACCACTCAAAAACCCTAGCAAGCATATAGCAGCTCCTGGCCACAAAACACTTTACAAATTTCTTAGCAACACCCTAGCGAACACCCTAGCAACCATCCAGCAACCCTGGTGACACAACAGTGAGTTTTGAACAAGCATTTAACTTAAGCTGAATCTTACAAAGGCCTTAAAACATTCAATGTTTACATAATAAATATTCTTTAAAAAGTATTAAAATGCAGCATGTAACTCGCAAACACCCTGGCAACCACGCAAGACACCCTAGCAACAAGAATGAAACACAGATTTCCTTTATTAAAAGTGGAGTTTGCTTTAAGATCTGCCACTGTATGAAATGTGTTTAGTGGCGATGTGAGAAACACACACAACAAAGCTTTTCCTGATGGCTTTGGACAGGAGAAAGGCTTCGGGGGGGAATATCACAGCTTGTGTTGGCCGCGACGATGACGGCTTCTCTCAGCCAAACGCAGTGAGCAGATCCGCTCCGAACCCCTGACCGCACTCGTGTTCAGCGGCTCTGACGCCCGCGGGCACGGCTCCACTCCCATGAGCCTCCTCTGACGAGCCCCAGCCGCACACGTGGACACATGTGAAAACAATTACATTAAATGCATGTGCTCGGCTACTTGTGCTAAATTACACAGGTTAGTGAATTAAGGGCCATTTACATAGTTGAACTCTCCCTTCTCTCGTCAGCCGCAGCAATGATGCTGCTGTCATTAACGCCAATGAAGGAATCTGGCATTTGATTTGAGCTTTAATCTCCGAGTTAGCATCCAGATCAGCGTTCAAACCCACAGCACGGCCCTCAGTACACACTGAGACTGGAATAGCATACTATGCCTATGATTGATGCAGTATACATAGTACTTGTATACGTGTATAATATGCAAATGTCCTATATGCATGAAATATCCAGATGACCTACTAATGTGCACACTGCATGGAATATGTTGTATCCCATAATGCAGTGCACTCAACCTACATGCAGTCTAGCAAAAGAAATGCCAACTGTGATTTTAAACATGCTTTATGATTCATTATTTGATCAGGCTGAAGCAGTAAATAAATATTTACACAAATTTTGACTATAAAATGCTAAAAAATAAATATTTTATCTGGATGCTGAATTAAACGTGCAATAGTATGTGACAATGTTTGAAGCATTCATCAGGGAATAATGCATACTGTTTGACTAAAATAATAGTACAGTAGGCAGCACACAGAACATACTGTGCAGTATTCAGTAAAGAGTAAGCTAGTATTCCCTTCTGAACATGATGCATGAAGGATTGCAGTGATCAGAATAGCATACTACCAGTCCAGCTATATCTATATTTTTCCAGAAATGGTAATCGTAGTATGCTAGTATGCTATTTTGAATATGCAGTAGGTTGTTTGAAAAACAAAACTGCATACTGCCTACTACAAAATGCACCATATTTCACAGTATACTGCAAGCTGTTTAATATAGTTTTTAATGCATTAAAAATGCTTAATTATTCTTAAAACTTTAGAAAAGTTAAGAAATATTTATTTATATATATATATATATATATATTTATTTATTTATATATATATATATATATATACACACATATATAAATAAAGAATTATTTAAACATATATAGAGAGAGATAAATTAAAAATTTTTATTAAAATATTATTTTATACATGTAATGTACTTTTAAGTTTTATGTATACTGTACATACAGTAGTAAAATATAGTAAATGCTTAAAAAAATAAAAATACTATTTTTACTATGTTTTAAAAATACTATTTTAACAACAAATTAAAAAACATATTTTTAAATATATATTTTTTTACTTTTAAGTTCATATAGTAAAATAAAATGCAGTTTAAAAATACTACTAATATTTTTTTCCCAACACAATAACCAGCATCTAGCTATCATCTTACAAATAAATCATAAATCTGCTTTTAAAAACAAATTGTGTTGTATCTTTTGGCAGTCTGATCAGGTAAAAGCCAGTAAAGAGATAAATAAAGGTTGCTATCACTTCCAGTTCATTCATCACACTGTAAATGGAAGGTCAAGTCAAGTGCATTGCATTATGGGATACAGTATTCCACACAGTGTGCTCTGGTTGTACATTGTGCATTTTGACAAACGCAGTATTTCAGTCAGGTATTCAATACACAACATACAGCAGCACTAGTATGAGTAGTACAGTAGTGTGTTATTGTGTAACTCTCTCTTTCTGAGTGGGTTGTGTGGAGGTAAATCACAGCAGTGTGTGAGTCCGTGTTAAACAGTGTCTGCGTGCGGATCGAAGCTCGTCTCCTCATAACTCTTGCTGGAAGTACCCGACGCGACACGCTCACAAATCACGCTCACCATTAATATCCTCAATGAGAGCGCGAGCCTTCTACAGCTCCTGAACTTTATGGTGTTTCCATTGATCAGCGATCCACAACAACAAAACTGCTGCTTATTTATCGCTCTGGAGTGTTACTCAGGCCCTGATTAAAACATCTGTCACATATGGGACGCTGAAAAAGGGTAAATGATCGCTGCTGTTTCCATTAGCCTCTGGAGAGAGAGAGACAGAGAGCCGGCAGTCAGCGGAGCAAAGCAGGACATTTGAACAGAGACTCATTTAGATTTGAATCAAAGGTTACGATCATTAGAGCAGAATGTACCGCGTTAACACTGACCTGAGACCAGCTCGACTGACCCACAGCACCAGACCAGTGTCTGTTAGAGACCGACTGTAACTAAAGCTGATGAGGAGATCAACAGGTCTACGAGGAGTAATTAAGTGCCCTAATCAGGTGCCAGCTGTAGTTATGCACTGAAAGACCAAATACTGTACAGTGTTCCTACACCGCTGCTGAATCTACAGCAAACAGAAATTAATAAACAGACAGTAAATCATTCAAGGCTGCACGCAAAAATAATCAAACAGCACGATCAGAATAGTGTGATTCACGAACAAATGACTCTTATGAACAGATTGGTATTGGTTTGAATCAGTGTAATTCAAACCAATCAGTCTAGTGAGTAAATTGATGATTTACTCAAACTATATATATATATATATATATACATACACACACACAATATTTTAAATGATTGCTTATTGTATAAAAGTCATTCAGTGGATCACATAATATTAAAGATAGAAGAATCAGAAGATAAGAAATCACATAAAATCACATTCAGCCACTTGATCTGATCCAATAATTTACTTCATCTTCTATCTTTCAATAATTTAACTAATACATTTTTAAAAATTACATACTGTTTATATAAATATATATATATATATATATACACACACATACATACATATTTGGTTGTTTGTATTACATAAATATAAGCTTAGTAAGTAATGAACGTATGAATAAAAAATAAATGTTTATTTATTTATTCATAAAACATGTTACATAAATTGCTATTTGTTTTTTTAAAAAGATTAAATATTTGATCTGTTTACTTGCATGTCATGTGATCTGTCATGTGATCTTTAACTGACATTAGAGACCTGTGAACATGCAAATGTGTTGAAATATGAACTTAAAATCTCATGGATACTTCAAGTATATATTTCAGCTCAAAGGGGTTTGACTGATAAATACCTGATATACTGAATCACATTCACACACCCTTCTAGCATCACTGCATTGTCTGAGAGACACAGTGAGACAGGCGACGTCGAGCCTGAATTCTGTCCGTGGATATGAACTCTTTAGGTAAAGGGCGGCAGATGAACTGTTGGACAGAGTTATAAACACCAGCGCCGTGATTGCTGCGATTAAGGATGCTGCTTTTGTTAGCAACACTAAATGAGGAAAACCACCCCAAGAATGTCAACGCAACACAGCTGAAACGTCAGCATACACTCCTCCATATGGTCTCGGCTCCCGTTTGTGTGTGTGTCAGGCGTGTGCTGTAATGTGCTTGGACTCACAGGCGATCCGGACGTGGGCTTTACGGCTCTTGGTGGTTCCTGCCGAGCTCCAGGCCACACACTGACACCAGAAATCCTCCAGACCGAAGAGCTCCTCCACCTGCTGACGGGTGATCTCGATACTGGCCTCCCGCACCACCAGACCTGCACACACACACGTTTGTTTTTGTGAATTGTGGGGACATTCCATAGGTGTAATGGTTTTTATACTGTACAAACTGTATATTCTATTGCCCTACACCAACCCTACTCCTAACCCTACCCCTTACAGGAAACTTTGTGCATTTTAACTTTCTTAAAAAAAAAAAACTCACTTTGTATGATTTATAAGTGTTTTGAAAAATGGGGACATGGGGTAATGTCCTCATAAGTCACCTTCTCCTTGTAATACCTGTCATACCCATGTCATTATACAAACTTGTGTCCTTATGTGTCACACAAACGCAGACACACACACACACACACACACACACACACACACAGACACACTCCCACAGACACAGAGACACTCGCACGCACTCGCACACACACACACACACACACACAGAAGGGCTGAGGATGTGCAGTCAAACAGCTCAAACACATGACCTCTACCCATTAACCAAGTGTTTTCTGAAACGAGCTGGATGTTGTAAAGCCCTCAAGCAGTAATTTCAGCTCTATCCACTTAAAGAGAGAACGACTGGATCTTCAAGACTGCCTGTCAAGATTGCAGTGTCAATAACACAACTTATTCTGCAACTATTTTATAAAAAGCTGAGCTTTAGTGTTTTTACCACACATCTGCTTTACACTGTACCTATATAATCGTGGTAAAAACATGGGTAATGCATGGGTGTTTAGCTGTAAACATTATAGAAATAACAATTATAAATATTATAAAATATATTTAAAATAATTATGAAAATTACATTCATTATGATTATTATATTAAAATAATTTTAAAATAAAGAATTATTATAAAATAAGCAAAATTGTTTAAGATATATGGAGTTTAGTACGTCAATAATCCACCCGATGTTATTCATCTGTGAGTTTACTACACATCTGCTTAAAATCGTACATGTACAATCATATTAAATTTAGACTAATGCATGAAACTTCAGCTCATAAAAATATAAAAATAACAACTGGAATAAAAAAATAAATAAAAATAAAATAATTAAAAAAAAATTATATATATATATATATTACATATATTAAATAGAATATTATTATGATAATATAAAAATAATGTAAAATATTAGAAACACTTAATTTATTATTTATTAATATTATTACTATTAGTAATGTTTGTAATTATTTTTATATTATTATTTAAAAATATAATTTTATATATGAAAAATAGTTACAAGAAATAATAATTATTATAAAAGAATTAGAAAAATCTTGTTCAAAACAGAGTTTAACATGTCAAACTGCAATATGTAACTCCCATGTTATTTCAAAGCAAAAAATGGTTTCATAATCTCTCAACAAATGCAATAAATTGCTCCATCACTGAAATTACTATCCTTTCTATCTGGCCACACAAGCTCTTGGTTATAATGCACAGCTCCATCTAGAAGACAACTGAAATTTCTAAACTTGCGAGCTTATTTTGACACCATGATATAAACCCAGTGTTGATTTTTCCACAAATCTGCTTCACACGGCTCCTAAAAACACCCCATAATCGTGGTAAAATCAGAGTAACGCATGTCACATTTCTTCAGCTAATAAAGATCAGCTGATGGATGCATGAATCATACTGATACTGCTCTGCTGAAATCTATCATTCTGTATGCTTCACTCACATGTTGAGTGCTTCTATGTGTTTTGTGGCACTCATAAACACACACACACACATGACACTGATGTGTGAGCGTGCTCAAACACACACACTCGGGCCGGAACGGTTGTGTTGGGCTCAGATGGACTGCCAGGATGATTGAGCTTGTTTGGACTCTTTCGTGTCTGTATTTTACTCCTCCAGCCGTATATTTCATCATTTATGGCGGGGACTTGGCTTGGCTAATCCGATCAGAAACATGACGTAGTCTCTGTAAGAGGAGACGTGAGACGCAGCTGTCTTCGCACGCAGACGCTGGAATAGCTCCTCGCGGTGCGCTGAATTTGTGCGAGGTGTGTGTGTGTGTGTGTGTCGGATCCCAACGGGCCCCAGAGGTGGTTTTCGGGCACAGGTTGTGATTGTGTTGCGCAGACAGCGGCTCCAGCCTGAGCACACACACACACACACACACACACACACACACACACAGACTCACACTCCCACACTCCCACAGACACACACACTCCCACAGACACTCGCACGCACTCGCACACACACACACACACACACACGCTGAGGATGAACATGGGTAATGCATGGGTGTTTAGCTGTAAACATTATAGAAATAACAATTATAAATATTATAAAATATATTTAAAATAATTATGAAAATTACATTCATTATGATTATTATATTAAAATAATTTTAAAATAAAGAATTATTATAAAATAAGCAAAATTGTTTAAGATATATGGAGTTTAGTACGTCAATAATCCACCCGATGTTATTCATCTGTGAGTTTACTACACATCTGCTTAAAATCGTACATGTACAATCATATTAAATTTAGACTAATGCATGAAACTTCAGCTCATAAAAATATAAAAATAACAACTGGAATAAAAAAATAAATAAAAATAAAATAATTAAAAAAAAATTATATATATATATATATTACATATATTAAATAGAATATTATTATGATAATATAAAAATAATGTAAAATATTAGAAACACTTAATTTATTATTTATTAATATTATTACTATTAGTAATGTTCGTAATTATTTTTATATTATTATTTAAAAATATAATTTTATATATGAAAAATAGTTACAAGAAATAATAATTATTATAAAAGAATTAGAAAAATCTTGTTCAAAACAGAGTTTAACATGTCAAACTGCAATATGTAACTCCCATGTTATTTCAAAGCAAAAAATGGTTTCATAATCTCTCAACAAATGCAATAAATTGCTCCATCACTGAAATTACTATCCTTTCTATCTGGCCACACAAGCTCTTGGTTATAATGCACAGCTCCATCTAGAAGACAACTGAAATTTCTAAACTTGCGAGCTTATTTTGACACCATGATATAAACCCAGTGTTGATTTTTCCACAAATCTGCTTCACACGGCTCCTAAAAACACCCCATAATCGTGGTAAAATCAGAGTAACGCATGTCACATTTCTTCAGCTAATAAAGATCAGCTGATGGATGCATGAATCATACTGATACTGCTCTGCTGAAATCTATCATTCTGTATGCTTCACTCACATGTTGAGTGCTTCTATGTGTTTTGTGGCACTCATAAACACACACACACACATGACACTGATGTGTGAGCGTGCTCAAACACACACACTCGGGCCGGAACGGTTGTGTTGGGCTCAGATGGACTGCCAGGATGATTGAGCTTGTTTGGACTCTTTCGTGTCTGTATTTTACTCCTCCAGCCGTATATTTCATCATTTATGGCGGGGACTTGGCTTGGCTAATCCGATCAGAAACATGACGTAGTCTCTGTAAGAGGAGACGTGAGACGCAGCTGTCTTCGCACGCAGACGCTGGAATAGCTCCTCGCGGTGCGCTGAATTTGTGCGAGGTGTGTGTGTGTGTGTGTGTCGGAGCCCAACGGGCCCCAGAGGTGGTTTTCGGGCACAGGTTGTGATTGTGTTGCGCAGACAGCGGCTCCAGCCTGAGCCGTAAAGTCACAGTAATCCTCTATGCTAATGTGCCGCTCTGCTCTCCTCCAGCTTCTTCTACATACTAATTGCTTGTTGCTTCATCTGCAGACATTTAAAATCACACGTGCACTTGACTCCCTCAAAGAAAAAAAAAATTAATAAAAATAATTATGCAAAATGCAAATATTATATATGAATACGGTTTCTTTTAATTAGTGAGATTTAAATTGGGGAAATGTACTAATATACTTTTTCTATATTAAATAAAAAAATATACATAAAAACTATAAATTGTTATTATTACACACTCAATTTAGTCACAAATTTAAAAAAAATCAGCTTTTTCCCTTCACTAGTTCATGGTACAAGGTCCTGCAGCGTGACAAATTAAAAGTGCAAACATAGGCTCTAAATTAGAATAAAATAATTAAAATATAATATCTAAATATAAATAAATATGAAATAATGAAAATGTTTAAAATTAAAAAAATATGTAAAAATTACCACAAATGATAAAATTATTATTCTCATAACAAATAATATAGATTTTAGAATTATTTTTATAATTTTAAAAATAATTTTTATATTATTAAAAATTTATTAAACATGCAAATTATTTGATAGGAATTTAGCATAAAGAATGCATACTGCAGGACATAAGTTCCATGTTATCATAGAATAATACAGTATAAATATTTTTTTTTTAAAATGTAAAAATTTTAATAATTATGGAAATAATTATAAAAAATATAAAAATTAAAATAAGCAAAATTATGTTTAAAATAGATGTAGATTAACATGTCACACTGCTGTCAATGCTGTTACAGTAAAATAAATGATTAAAAAAATTGAAAATGAACAATTATAAATTAAAAGAATATATACAAAATTATAAAATATATAAAAATAATATAGGTGGCGTTTATCATTTTACACTGCAGGACATAAGGGGAAAAGTGCTTTCATAATCTATCAAGTAATGCAAAAAATATTTGCTCCATTACTGAAATGACTTTCCTTTTTATCTGACCATCTCTCTGTCTTTCTATCTCGGCCATAAAAGCTACTGTTATAATGTGAACCAGCAGTGAAATAGCTAGATAAGCATTGTTTCAGTAAAGTCTCATTCAGGTCCGGCTCCATTCTGGTATGAAACGCTCACTTTTAATCTCAATATTTAATGCTCACTCAGAAATAAGTCACATTATGGAAGTCAAATGCTAGCAAACTCCATCTCATGTTGATGTTCTGTTGTAAATCCTGAAGAGAAACAATACAGCAGTTATTGTACTGTACTGCACACGTTAGAAATGAGCACAAACGGGCCTGTATTCTCTCTCAGGCACAGGAAGACTTATTTACCCGCTTATTAGGATTAGGAATCTAGTGCTGGGACTGAAAT